CAGGGTACTGCCGGAACGTACCCTGGGTACGGCCCGGTATACCAGAACGTACCCTGGTAACTATCTAGCTGATATGGTTGAGGTTAGAGTTAGGGTTAGAGTTAGGGTTAGAGTTAGGGTTAGGCTTATGGTTAGGGTTAGGGAGTAGGCGTAGGCGACTCCCTAGACTCGTTAGTGGAGTAGACGAGGTACGGTCCGGCATATTAGATAGTAGTATTTAGTACCAGGGTACGTTCTGGTATACCGGACCGTACCCAGGGTACGTTCCGGCAGTACCCTGGGGGACATAGACCCTATCAGCCAATCGCAGTTTGAGACTGCAGTAGATAACATCATAATTATCATCGTCGTCGTCGTCGTCGTCGTCGTCGTCGTCGTCGTCGTCGTCAGCAGCAGCCGTAGCTCTAGTACTATAGCCCGCGTTCATTAACTGCCGCAGGGGGCTGCGGCAGTTAATGAACGCGGGCTATAGTACTAGAGCTACAGCAGCCGCAGCCGCCGCAGCAGCAACAGCTGCAGCAAGCACCTTCATCATCGGCCTTATCACTCTACCCATTACCCCCTCCCTATTCATAACCCTAATCCTAACTCTAACCATATAGCCCCAACCCCAACCTTAACTCTAACTATAACCCTTAGCTTAACCCTAACTCTAATGGTACTCTAATTCTAACTCTATAATCTTAAAATCTAACTGATAATCCTAAATCCATCATTAAAATCCGGGGTCATAAAATAGGATTGAGCCTGCCAATGTCTTACTCATTAATTTAGTATCACGTTTTTTACTGCTTTTATATAGCCTTCTATATAGATCGTTCTGTGAACGTCACATACCTATATCTATCTTCAACTATCACCACATGTATGTATACATCGTATAGCCCGGGATAAGAATGAGAGTGCATAACTGCGGCCACTTAATATCAACTATATATGCATATATAATATATATGTGTATATAAATCTTACTTGATATAAAATTGTCAATTTGATATAGCAACATGCATCTATTTTCCATTGCTTGTTCAGGTTTTGCAAGAAATCAGAAAGCTGTGTCTATAGCATTACCTAACCATATTGAAAAGCAAAACATCAAAATATCTTTCTAACATATATACATGGGCACATTTTTTGCTTTTTCATTTTACAATTAATGAATGAGCAAATTTAGTGAACGTGATTTTGTTCAAAGTTACTTGGGCCATGAACGTGTGAATAGTGCATTTTTTGTGACACGAAGTTTAGTGAAGGAAATTGTGTTTCAGGCCGAGAAAAAGGTGGCCCAGTAAGTCGAATGCAATGGTTCAAGAAAAGGATATCGGCTAGTCTTGGAAGACTGAGTAAGTGAATTTACTAGTCTAAGCCATGTGTATCATGCTGATTGTGATAAGACTACGGCGATTTCACGTGCCGATTTCGCATGCGTGTCAAGACTTGCGGGAAGAATTACTTGCATCGCTGTAAACATGTAAATACTGTCATCAATCACTACAGAGTAGACATGCACACGCATGCTCATCTTCTCAGCCTGTGTGTGGTGTTGAGTATTAGCTGAAGACTGAATACGCAGTAGATGTTTAATAACATCTGCGGTAGAGCCATGCAATGAGAGGCACGTGATTTATGAACAATACATTGCGCGTAACATCAAACAACTTTGCTCTAAGTATGCCTTATTGCTCTGTCTTTATAGGCCGACCATATTTTTATATGATTTGGTATAAAAGCTCAGATTAATTTCAATTGCTGCAATGAGATGAGATTAGACAGGTGTCACGTCCAGGTAATAGCTTCACCGAATACGTTTTGACAGCGAGTGTGTTTAGAGACGCCAGGGAGTGATCTTTCATGGCGCATTTCACCTGAGTGACTGTTGCAGTTACTAACCTGCGAGTGTGAGCGCCTAACTATAGCTGAGAAAGCAAGCATGCGCTGTTAGTGTTACAGGCACGATAATCACCTCATTACTGGGTACATTGCTGTTAGATTGCAGGGCGCTTTACTGCTGGTTACATTATTACTTTGTCATCGTAAAGTTTGAGACCGATAAGTATGGACTATGGAGAACTTGTGCTGCTATCCACTTCCTTTTCTGCCTTCCCCAACCGCAATAAATATACAATGTTCTGACAGTGTTAACTTTACTACACTAGTTTGTGCGTGCGATTGGCAAATGATTTAGCTCTAGATCTGCACAAAGTGACAATTGAATAATGAATTATCCATAATTTGCAGTTAAATTTTACGAGCAAATAACAAATTCCGTACCTACTTCGTTTTCCTCAATAACGCACATGTATATATTATTATATTATTGTATATATACATATCTCTATTATGTACTCTTGATATATATATA